ACTATAAAGGGAAATAAGTCATTCTGACTCGCTCACTAGTTATATGTAGTGTATATACCCAAAAAACCGTAACATTCATTACTCGGTACCTATTGCCAAACACACAAGTCTCGGTATCTTTTACTCTACTAAGATCGAACTAATCGATCAACTGACCAGTCTCTCCAGTGAGATCACACCCATTATTCTGTGTTAATGATCACCCAGACTAGCGTTGATAACCATTACCCGAGGTCGAGTGAGCTTTTTTTTCTGTGTTAAAGAAAATGGTTAAAGTAGCCGTTTCCGTGCAAGAAACTTTCGGTTTTTATTGACTTAACAGTTAGTGTTGAAATTTATAAAATATTTTTTAAAGTCTACTAAATGTTGTAAATTCTCGAATGTTGACTGGAGCTTCCATACAAAATCTTTAAGATTTGTTCAACCTTTGTTTAAGTATGGAAACTGAACAGATTGTTTATATCATGTTTGCCTCTTCTGGTTACATGTGTCAGACATTTATATTAAATCTGCTGTTGGAATTATCCAAGTGATGGAATTGTGATGCAGTAGCGCCAATCTACGGTGATAATCTGTTATAGTAATTTACCCACGCACACATGGACTCTCCCAGCTATAAATAGAAGCAGGTACTGCCTTTTAGAGGGATGTTTCTAGCAGTCATCTCTGACAGTCGGACTGAACATTCATTCTCTCGTTTGTATATGTTTGTATTTCTGTTTCTGTTAATATATTTAACTCAATTCCTGTCTTTGTGTCTTTATTTTCTGGCCCTAACAAGGCCACACCAACTTGGCGACGAGGACTCTTAAGGACCCTTGAGGTCCCCAATGGACTACGTGGAAATTGTTAATATTGGTTCTACTCAACAGGACTTGACAATGCAGAAAAGGAAACCGAACGGGAAAAAGTGTAACTAAATTACACTGAACTTTCCGAGAATACTTGTCTCTCAGAGAAAAAAAAGAACTCGAGATTTCCCGAGTAAGAAATTAAAGTTATTTCGTTTTTTCCCCCTCAACAATTAAATTCTATTTCGGTTTAATCCTAAAAAAGACGCAGTCAAACATTAACGAGTTCAAACACGATCTGGAGCGCAATGGACAATTTTACATATTCTCCCTACGAGGATATAACTTTCGCTTCCTGTTTTAGAAGGTACGAGGATTTATACGCCACAGATTGCACGAAATGGGCAGACTCTAAGAAGGTTCGCCTGCTATTTCGAAAGCTAGGCACAATTGAGCACACTAAATTTGTGAACTATATTTTACCCCGTAAAACAAGCGAACTAACATTTACCGAAGCGGTTAAAATTTTTACATAACTTTTTAGTCCTAAAACTTCGCTTTTTCATAAGAGGTGGAAGTTTATAAATTTAACCAGAAAGAGTAGTAAAGATTATACTACATTCGCATCGGTCGTGAACAAACATTGCGACGATTTTAAACTGTCAGAATTGAGTGTGAATAATTTCAAGTGTCTGATATTTATTCAGGGACTCGTTTCATCTAAAGATGCTGAAATTAGACGTAGAGTTCTGAACAAATTGGAACCAAACCTTACTCTCCAACAAATAGCGGAAGACTGTCAGAGATTCGTAAGCGTACGCCAAGATTCGAAAAAGATCGAGGAATCTGGCATAACACTCATAAGAAAGTTACGCTAAAAGAAAAAAAAAATCTAATTCTTCCTCTAAATCAAACCGGTCCAAAAAGAAACTCTACCACTTCGTCTCCAGCCCCTCAACCTCCGGCGTCTTCGTCTTTGGGTTGAGGTGTCCACTCGGTCCGAACCGAACATTGGGGTAACTGGCCGTACGCTCCCTGAGTACCCGTAGATTATTTCGACCGGTCAACTGGTCAAGTTCTGCTCGCTGCCCACGCTGTGTTAGTTTTTAAATCCAGTAAGTGGGGTGTTGTCCATACGTTCATGGTCGACTGGGGATGTGGACACGGCTGTGAGAGTTGGCACTAGGAAGTTTTAGAATGTGGCAAAATAAAACAATAAATAATATTTGCAGAAGCCAGACAACAATGGGGGAAATATTGACGTCTTTTATATAAGAAAATAACATCAGAACAGAGGTTACAGGGAGAATAAAAACATTTAACATAAATGAGAAAAGAAAAAAAAAGACAAAATGCATCCATCGAATTCCCAACAGAGAGCGGGTTTGTGTGTGATAAACGCGTATTGAGTCGCCTGGGGTAGGTTTATGACTCATAGTCTCGTCTCATACAGACTTCTCAGGACAGGGGTTAGTCTTCTCTGTCTCCTCCAAAATTCTCCCGCAAATCACTCGACGATAGTCTCGTGACTCTCTCGACTAACGGTCGCCTGCGGGTGCTCACGCATGCGACGACAATGTGCCGACCGATTGCGGTCTCTCTCGTCTCTCTCTCCCGTCTGGCCTCTTCCGTCTCGCTCGACCGTCTGCATCTTTTTCAACATAACTGTGCGTTTATATAGATAAATCTGGTTGATCATGAATCGACCC